CATGCTTAATGAAGTCCTTCTTGTTGTCTCTGACACCACTGGCCTGATTCAGTTCCATTTGGGCTTTAGCTTTATCAGCTTCATCCCTGCATGCCCAGACAACATTTCTGTTATCTTTCTTTGTGTCCACTCTCTCTAAGTTTCCTTTTTGTGTTGGAACAAGAAACTCCTTGTCAAGCCATCCATGCAGGCCTCCTGGAATTTTTGCCTGACTTCCTGCTTTTTAGGATGAAACTCTCTTGAGCTTGATGGAAGTGATCCTTGAATATTAACCAGCTCTTTTGTGTCATTTTGCTTTGCAAGGTGTTGCAAAGGCTGTTAAACCCAATAAGTATGGAAAGGGGGTTTTGATGTGAAGAAAATTAGTAGGTGCAAAACCAGGATGAACGGGCTCTGTAGCACTGCACCAGATTCAATGAAACTTACCAGTAACATAGTTCCTTGTGGCACAGCTGCTGGGATGTGTAGCACAAGTCCTTAATGCTGTGTTAATTTATGACCCTTGCAGTCATTCAGCCCCCAAGGACAGCTCTGTTTGTGTTCACAGAGATCCAATGACAGTAAGAATCACTGCCCAGCCTAGTGTTCAAAGGAGATGACAGTGTAGAGAGGGGGGGAAATACACTGGGGGATTGGTTCCCCAGTGTCATGGGTTTACTTGTTCTTAAAAACCAAACGGAATATTTCTTTCCCCTGCTATATGTGGGGGAGGAATGTTGAATGGGGAGGACAGTTTTCTGCTTTGGGTGATTACCTACACAAAGGATCTGGCTGGCAGAACTACATTCCGACCTAATAGCTCTCTCTGGGGCTGTGTGTGTGTGTGTGTGTGTGAGGAGGTTTTTTCCCCCCTCCTCTCCTTGGAAAGTGGCACTTCACTTTTTGCCTTAATGGAGGCAAGATATTGTCATTGTTGGGACATACACCACACTGGGATTTCACACAGAAAGACCTTTATTTCATATAAACATTGTTAGTTTATAGTCTCCCCTAGCCAGCGTGTTTCACCACCATTGGTGCCCTTACTACAGAAACATGTCAAGATTGCTCTATAGTTTCTGCAACTCATGGTGTCTCAGCACTTTAGGATGTTGTAAGGGGGGTACTTTTGAATTGGATGATCAATGGAGCATAGACGCGTGAGAAAGAAATCATATTAGGATGTGAAACCAGCCAGAGTATGGTACAATGTAACTTCATGGCACAGGCTAATTGTAAGGTCCACTGTGCTTTTTAGCAAGTCAGCCTGATATCCCCTCTTATCAGAGCTGAGTTCTTTCTTGGTTTTGCTACACATTGCAAGATAGATACATCTCCCCTTGAAACACAATGGTAGAGGTCATACAGAGGGGTGAGAAAGATGATGATGGGAGGAAGATGATGTGGGCAGGGGTCGCTCGCCCCTTGCCCCACAAGTAGGGCATGTGCAGACTGTTGCCATTAGGTAATGATCAGGCGGTGTTTGGCTGCCACTCAGGCATCACCTTATACTGCGTACTGGCCCTACGTGGTGTAATGTGGAACTGATAAAATGGGGTGTCGGGACTGCTGAGTAGAGCGATCCTCATCCTGCCACCGAGACTGTGTTGCTCCGCGGGGACGCCCGCTAAGTATGGGCACCGACCAGCTGCTGCAGATCCTGACAGCCCTGGCCTGTCTGTGTGGGTAAGCACAGTTTATTGAGAGGAAGCAACCGAGAGAATCAACTTTTTTAATATCCCTTTAGCGTCCCTTTAATTCCCCATTTAGTATTGAATCTTTTTCCATAAATAAGTTGTTCATAGTATTTTTCCTTTGATTTCTCCTTTTACTAACCAATCTCGTGTTAATAGTTATCCACAGCTCAGTCACCTCCCACAAGGTGTGTGTGTGTTGGAAAAAGCTCTGAGGCTGTTTTGCTCTCAACCTGGTCATCTGACTGCTTTCCAGCCTCGGCTTGCCTGTGCACTGCTCTGTCTCCAGCCCAGATCTGCTCCGATTTCATCGTAGAGTTTTGTGCTCCTTGACAAAAAAAGGGGAGTCCTGACCACAGCCAGCCGCAGACAGCGTGAGTTTAGTGGGAAAGCACCCGCCCTTCTTTCCCCTTTTCCCCTTCCCCTCCTCGGTGGGTGGGAAAATCTCCATTTTCCGGCCTCTCCCGCGATCCAGGGTCCCCACACGGCAACCCCCAGAGCCCAGCAGCGCCCCCTGCTGGCCAACACCGAGCAACCGCAGGCTCTGCTCCTCCCCTGACCCAACAGCGCCCCCTGCTGGCCGGGATTAGAATCGCGCCAGAGGACAGAGAGGGATCAAACTGGTTCCTTTGTTTGAAGGGGACTTTTTGGGGGCGGGATTATTGTGAAGTTGGTTTTGTGTTCGTTTGGTGCTTTTGCCAATTCATAGATATCCTTTCAGAAAGGGTTGTTATTTTTCTTTGTTCCATACTTTCTTGATTGGAGTCTCTTAATTTCGGATTTACAATTGCTGAGAGAGGGGAGTTTAGTCTCTCATAACTCGCCCTCCTTAGCAAAACACTTTCAGTCTCATTCAACTGAGACACCCAGTATGTTTGGAAAACTTATAACGCCCTAAGTAATTAGTGGTAATTACTTAGAACAGCATGGTAATGAGCGTTTCGTGCCAGTGTTTTCCCAAGTGACTTGCACAGTGTGCCTGTCCCCAGGCCTAGCACTGATGAGGTCATTTTGTGTTCTTTAAGTGTCTGTTTAAATGACATGGTGTGTCCCATAGTCAACAAGGAGTCTTGCAGTGTAAATCCTTTCAAATGGCTAAGGATTTCCCCATATCCCCTTCTCTTTCACTATCCTCAGAGATTCACAGTCTCTTGCAGACAGATTTCTGAACTCTATCGAGCCCCAAACCTCCTGTGAGGCTCCAACTGCAATTTTTTTTTTTTTTTTTGCTAACTAGCTTTAAAACAGAACTTGATGCAGACGGTTGTGGAGAATTAAGCAGTGTTGGCACTTAATGCAGCTTTTCCAAAGGCAAAGCACGTACTTGGACAGGGCTTCTGTGCTGCCCTGTTGTCTTCCTGCTTGTGCTGCCCGAGAAAGGAATAAACTCCCCTGAGTGAAGAGAACATTCGCTGTGCTCTCAGAAATGCGTTGTTGCTTTCCATATGTGTTTTTTGCCATCTAGTGGCAGCAAATTCTTGGTGTACTGTTTGCCTCCTAATTTAACTTTCTACGCATGGTACAAAATTGTTTGTTGTAGGACTTCTCCATCAAGCAGCAAAGTGCAACTCTCCAGCCATGCTGCTGACTGTGCTGTTGTGACAAAGGGTCAGGAGACTAGCTGGAATGGTCAGGTTGGGAGAAGGATTCGCTGTCAAGTAAAACATCAGGAGTGCTCAAAATCAGTGCTTTTCTGAAGCTTAATGAGTTTTGAGTTATTTAAGCACATATGATCATCTGGTCACTCATGATGTGGTCATATGGATGCCTTGTTGCTGATTTAGGGGTGTATCCTGAAAGGTAGCAAGTCTTATGAAGAACAACAGAGAGAAACGGTGTTTTTTAGCCTAGAAAAAAGGAGACTTGAGGGGAGACCTTATTGCTCTCTCCAGTGACCTGAAAAGGAAATGGTAGCCAAGTGGGTGTCAGTCTCTTCTCTCAGATAACAAGCCACAGGACAAGATGAAATGGCTTCAAGTTGCACCAGGGGAGGCTTAGATTCGATAGTAAGAAGAAGAACTTTACAGAAGGTGTTGTTATGCCCAGGGAAGTGGTTGAGTCACTCTCCCTGGAAGTCTTAAAAAGATGTGCAGAAATGACACTTGAAGAGATTGTTTAGTGGTGGACTTGGAAGCGATGAGTTAACAGTTGGATTCGATGATCTTAAGGGTCTTTTTCAACCTAAACAATTCTACTACGCTATGATTGTGGAGCCTCTAAAATAAAAAGCCCTATTTTGATGGCAATGTGTGTTTCAGGAGTGCCTCCCATCACAATTAGTCACTGTGGTTATTCTGGTCCCCACAGTGCCTGGGATCTAATAGGCAAGCTACCCATCCTGTTTTCATTGGGATAGTTTGGGTAACAGGTCCCTTTGTCTTGGCCTTGCTTGACATGCAACCACACAGCCTAAATATTTAATCCTCAAAATCAGCATTAGCCTCCTTTCTCCAAGACCACTTCCTTAAGATCTGCAGATGGTACCTCTGATACACCCACAGGGAAACAATCTCCTTGGTCACCTGGTGATGACTAAACCTCTCACTTGCTGTGATCACCCCTTTCTGTTTCTAGAAAGAAGTGCCACCCATGAAGCCCAGGGAGGCTGCACTTCCCCCTTCACTTCAGCAATCCCCTTCTCCCCCTCCAAAAACCCTGCAGTGTTGTCACTGACTAGAAGATGTATGACATCACTGCACAAAACCCCACTGGCCACACAGTAGTCTCTGTGACCTCTGATGTCTTCTGCCTTTTCTCTGTCTAAAAACCAAGGGGCGAAGAGTTCAAAGAACTCAGCATTGGAAGCAAAGTGCTTGTTCATAACACAGAATAGTCGGTGAAAGAGCGTTGACTTTCAAAGGATCCATGTCTTTTTTTGCATCTGGAGAGAACTGGGTGATCTTCAAAAGATTATTTGTAACACAAGTTTGTAACCATTTTCACAACTACTTTAAGAACTAATGTTAAAAGGTTCTTAAGAGGCAGATGGTTGCTCTGGGAGCTGCATCACACATTCCTGTGAATATTTAGGAAGCTCTGCAACTGGGTTACTGGAAAGGCAAATCTACATTCATCCGACCTGTTTCACTGGAGCATTGCAACAGAATTTCCGCGTGCAAAATACTTTGAATGCCAAAGAGTTCAATCCTTCTAGAGTAGACTGTTACTAACAAGAGGCTGGGCTTTGTCACTGAACTGGTCATTTTCCTCAAACATGTGAGAAGGGCTGAGACCTCATCTCTGACTTTTAATTTAGTACAGCTTTTTGAACATCTCAGAGAGTTAATGATAAGCTCTTTCTGCAATGGTAGATCTCCTAACATCTCATGCAGTGACCAGTGGTAAACTATAGAAAAGCTCTTTCACAAATCTTTTCCCCCTAGCCAGATAAAAGAGAATTACTACTTTGATGAGAATATAACCTGTAAAACATAAACATATTTCTGCCTCATGTTCAATTTAAACTTCAAAACCATAGAATTCCTTTAGAAACATTCCTATAGTTCAGAGGTAATATACACTCCCCCTATTTTCAAAGCAAATATGCATCTCCCAATGTTAATTGGCTTTGGATCTAAGGAGAACTTGTCAGAGGTATTACAAAACCTAGTAAAAATTTTCACAAACACAAAAACTTCATTCTACTAGGGACTGCCATCTAGGTGAACAATTTTAGAAAACAATTAGCAAGGTTACTCTGGAATTTGTTTACATTATTAGACATCATCACTTATTTAAACCAAGACTTGCTGATTGAAGTGTCTGAGCTAATTAATAAAATCTTTGTTGTGTCCAGGCATTCATCTAAAAACAATGTTGGCTATTAGCTATGGAAGGATGTCTTCGTTGTTTGCTTTCTTTACCTTTTTTTTCCCCTCGTTTTTCTGTCTTGGCTGGAGGTGAGGGGGGTGGGCTGGGCTGGTTTCTGGGTCTCTCTGCTGGCAGCGCTCTGCCCGCCCTAGTTCGAAGCTGCTCACTTGCAGTCCTGCTGCAGTGTGACCAATTCTATGTGCGTTCCATTGTTTAAGTTCAGCCACACACCTCCACCGGGAGAGAAGGAGACGCTTCTTCTGCCAATGCCGGGTCAGCTCTGGACTGCAAGCTTCTAAATATTAGAAGCTGGGGCTCTTGGCCTCACACACGGTGCCATTTGTAGGAGGTCAATAACGAATCGATCCCAAGTTTGGGGGTGAAAACTGGAATCTTTATTGAACGCGCATCTCACAGTTTAGGGCCTGGGGGGCAGGACATGTTAATGAGGAGGATGGATTATGCTAAGTTGGGGATGGATTATGCTAACTAGAGGATTACACAATTTTCTGCTACAGTCACACAATTGGTTAATATTTCCTGTAACAAGGATTACATGGGGGGCAGAGAACAAAGGGGTTTCTACGTAGTCTGATATCATCATCACAAAGTCTTTCCATATCTTGCTGCAGGAGCCAGGTCAATCAACACAGTTAAATATCAATAGGTCTTGTGACGAAGCATCCGATCCTCAGGTGGTGGGATTTCTTTCAGCCCCTGTTGTCCATGGCCAGCTACATAATCCTTTTGTGCTGATATCTGAGTTTCAAATTGCTACAGATGACCTAAAGTCTTGGGCTTTACCACAGATGTCTGGGTGGTGTTCTGAGACCCAGACTTCTGTTCAGTCCCAAACTGTTGCCAAGATGTCCCAGGCCAGCTGAATCCAGAAGTGGACGTGCAGTCAGATGTACGCTGACAGCACTGCTTGTGACAGCAGATCTGCTTCTATGGCTCTCCAAAAGGAGCTTGGTGTTGGCCTCTGCAAGTCTCTCATCAGCTCTGAAACATTTAGAAGCACACAGAGAGTCATCTTTGGCAGGAAGGCTTTTGCAAAGTTACCCTCCACGGCCTTGACTACTACTCGACTTCTAAAAGCCAAGGGCATTAAGAGTGTCCAAAACAAGCACATCCTTTGATCTGAGCTTGTTCAGAGGGCCTGTTTCTAAGAAATCACACCAAGTGCAAGGAGCAGCAAGTGTCACCTCCATAAGAACTCTGGCCTACCCTGGCCTTCTCAAGGAAAGCTCAGACCCGCTGCCAAAGCAGAAGCCAAGAAAGAGCGTTCTTAGTTTGGATTCACAGAATCCAACTCTGTTCTCCGAGAGGCCTCTCCTTATTCAAACAGTAAAGGGCACAAGATTCATCTTTTCTGTCCCACACAGGATGAGGAGATGAGAGATTGGCAAAAAGACTGCCTGCTAGAACAACCTCAACTTGAAAAAGACACCAATAATGCCATAATGGCGCTACTGTGGTGTTACTGCTGAAACTCTTAAAGAGAAAGGAAGACGGGTCTGATGAGGGGAAGGGTCTTAAGGGACTTTCCCCACAAATATGCCATGTTCTGCTTTCACACATCATGCTGGTGAGATGTAAAAAAGGGATTTTAGAAGGAAAACGCACGAGGAAAAAGGAGTCTTTTATTCCCAGTCCAGAAAAGCATGGACTTACCTTTCCAGTTTCTTGGCGAGGCTTTTTCTGGTTTTGGCTTCCACCAGATAGAGCTCTTTGTACTTTTCCACTTCTGCCTGGGTGGATTCTTTTTGAGGAGGTCTGTCTTGTTGGTTGTTTTTTATCCTGTCCAATTGACTTTTGGGATCTCTTCTTCTTTCTTCTGTTTTCTCGCTGAATCACAATGATGGCTGCGAGGACTTGAGCTCTTTCATGCTCAAGAATCAAGATCAGTCAATCTGCTGGTCAGAAAAAATGGATGTGGTTCTTATTGTGAGTGCCTAAGAAACCAAGACACCAGCTCTGCATCAGTAAACCAACAGGGAAGTGCAATGTGCTTGACATCCATTTAATAGAGTTGATGAGTTTACATTCCCACTGCAAGGAACATGTTTTCACATCTGAAGCGGGGGATGGGAAACCATAGACTCACTGTGAACACTGAATGATTTCCAGAGCCTCTCTGTAGCATTTTGTTCAAATCCGGTAATTTTGGATTAAAGAATCCCGGTGCTCCTCCATTACTCTGGAAACGGGGATCCTGGTCTGTCAGGAGTGAGGACATTGCTGCATATGAAAGCTGGAAAAAACAAGAAAAAATGTGTGACCCTCCAGAGGATGAAACTCCTGTATGAAATTGTCAAGAAGTTCAGACCCAATGCATTTCGAGTTTTACAGTTGTGTCTAAACATTTATTGTAATTTTTCCCTTGTTTGTACCCTGAAATTGTTGTATGAAAAATGCCCTTGATTGCTGTATCCTTAGGCCCCACTGCCTGATTGGCCAAAGTTTGCTGCATTGCAGTATTTCCTTTTATGGTCACCCTTTCCCTAAAATGGATAAACCCTACCCCCTTATTCCCTTATAGAGTTACACTTTGCATGCTCCTCCCTAGTCCCTCCCTTTCTTGTAGGAAATTCTACCCCTACCTTATAGAAGCCTTAACCCACCTCCCTAAATGAGCCATTTTTTACACCCTCATCCCGAGAGTGGCAAACCTGTTATTCCCACAAGGACCCGTCCCTGGTCCACATGAAGATTTTTTGAAGATCCAGCAGATCCACTTGTAGGTTTAGCAGTGGCTGGGGGGAAACTGACAAGATTCCTGGTGTTACTTTTACAGCAGACAGGGCAAAATAAGGCACGGCAAGAACATGACAGGCAACATGAGAGACTGCAGTCTAGAGAGAGACTTTAAAATTTCCAAGGGAACATAACAACGGAAGGGCTAGGTGCAAAGGAAGAAACCCAGTTTTGCCACAATTGCTTATCTGTCAACAGCATTTCTAAAGCAAGTGGAAGACATTCCGGAGGCTACACACTGAACACCTTCAGGCAATCCACAAATGACTCCCGTGCTAAACAGCCCCCTTGTAGACCTCTTCAACCCAAAGTCTCTGCTTTCCTTTTATGTCCAAACCAGTGATTTATTGGCACACTACTACTACACAGCACCAGGCACTGCAAAGCAGTAACTCTGCTCTCTGGAGGAACAAATTACCATGGACCAGGTGCATTTCCTCTTTGGACACCTGGCCTCAAATTCTACAGCAGGTTTTATGCTACGTACGGCAAGCACTGAACTGATATTTGCCAAAAAAGTACTGAATAGTCTTTTCCTAAAGAGAGATTATTTTTTGTCACTGATCTCCTTGCTTGTTCCAAAAAAGACTGCACCAGCTAAGCTACCAAGGCAAGCCATGAATCACAGAATCCTAGCAAAAATCAGGAACCAACAGCAAAGAATGGGTATGGTACAGTTTAGTCCTGAGTGCCATCAGTGTACATGAGAGGGGAAGTGATGGCTGAAGCTTATACTTATCTTGTGGCTGCTTTGCTGTTTGTGCTTGAGATGAACTCTAGTGAAGGGCAACTTCAGCTTAAGCCAAGGGTTTCTTTGCGCTTTTTTTCAGGCAACTGCATAACATTGTACGCCACATTTTTGGTAAGCAGGAAGTTTTCACTTTCAAGTCTCAACTGGAAGGCTAGCAGAAAAGAAAAACCAAAAACCTACTTATCACAGGAACTTGATAAAAATGGCTCGAGAGCTGTCAAGTGTTAGAAAGAGTCACCTTTTCCCTTAAAAACCCTCCTGACATACTGACACATTACCTCGTTGAAGTTCTCTAGCGATTTTTGCATCCCTTTCCTGTCGTGCCTAGAATTATACAGAAAATACACAGTTAAGACATAGTATTTTCCGAGTTAAGAGGTAAGATTTCAGTTGATTAAGCCATTGTTTTACTCACACCCCTTTGAGGAAGAAAACTTTAGAACTTGATACAGTAGTAGAGTTCAAAGCAAATCCTGAGAAGACAAACTGTGTCTAGTGAGAGTGAACTGTCCTCAGCTCCTCTGTTGACAACAAACTGAATGTCTCCAGAGGTTGCAGTCAAGGTCAGAGAGAACTTCAGGGGACTAAGTCCTACCAACAAAAATGCAATAGGAAGGGGAAATGTTGGGGTTGAAGCAAGCCCCCAAACTAAGAAACAAAACCCCTGCAGACATCAGTCATTGAAGAGGGGGGAAATGTCACACATAGTTGTGCATCAACTTCCTTGACAGTCCGCTCAAGGCTGTGAGACACGCATGGCCTGAAAAGAAACTGGATGGGTGCTGTTGCAGTCAGGACACTGAGTAAGAACAGTATCACCGTTCTCAGATCTAGTGCATTCTTTTCTTGGAATCAACTCAACTGTTTTCCACAAGTAGGTCTGGGAAGCAGTTGTTACAAAGCGTTGAAGCAGCCTATATAGTGATTTGAACTCCACATCTGCATAGATTAGCAACTGGATAAAACAATGAGCCAGGAAATAACCTGTAGAAATATTTAATTTCTGTAACATCCTTCAGGGAAGCCAGGAAAGCAGTGAAGGTTTCTGTCTTGATCATGACAAAACTTTGAGATGCCCAGAGTTTTCTTCTGGAAAATCACAATGGAAAGGACGAGCTGAAGACTGTTGCTGTAATTCAGTTTTAGGAAGCACTGGGTACTCCCACTGTCCTTCCATTCACTATCTGTTTTCCCTGTTCTTTTTCAAAAAAGACACACCTGTCAATTCTTTTCTTTTCAACTAGGGCAGCTTTTTTCCTCCAACAGGAATGGTTTCCTCCTCTGCCTTTTCCTTCTTTTAACATCTTGCTGCCATCTCTCTGTCCTTTCTTTCCCTCACTTGTTCCGTGCTCCCTGCCCCTCCTGCTCTTCTCCTTTTCTCCCTTTTGCATTGGGTCCCTGAAGTTTGCTTCCTTTCTAGTGCTTGCCTGCAGAATAGTCCCTGCACATGGTACAGCACTAATTACCTCACCAGTTCTTTCCCTAATGCCTGTCCATGCCTCTGCCCTCAAAAACGTGTTCACAGAGGTACAGAAAAGTTCCTGTCTGGAACTGCCACTGCTAGGCATTACCTACGCTGCTTGGCCCCTTTTCATCTCCTTGGTGTTTTTGTCTTCAACCAGGTGCTGTATGGAGACACCTTGTTGAAATGGGTTCTTTCCAATGGAGGTGAGGGGACCAGTGAACTGAGATGGACTTGAAAGTGAACAAGTGCTTCTCACATTCATCCAACGACTAAACACACTAACTCAACAGAGAAGCTTGGCCATGCCTCAATCCCATGCTACGTGGCTGTCCTGCTGATTACAACTACTGGGGTGTGGTTTCCACGTCTCCTGGTATCATGCTCTGCATTCTGGAAGGGATGTGCTATCACACTGACTGCTTGGACCAGTGCTATTGCAGAGGTTGCAGCATTGCTGCACAGTTAGAAGGCCGTGAAGACTTCCCAAGGAGTAGGTAGTTCTGCTGTTTCATGTAGTAAGACTTAGCAGAAACTACAGGAACAAATGCCTCCTATCCATAGGAACATATTAAAGCAAGGTCCAGGGAAGAAACTGCTAGAACAAAGATCAGTGATGAAGAAAATGGTGTCTCACAGATGTCTGGTGGCATTTGGCACTCATGGTGACATTAGCCACTTGAAATAGGTCACACATACCATACATGTAAATTTAGTGTAGAACTTAGGTGGGGGCTTCGTGCCCCACAGTGCTCTTTACCACAGTTTGTCTGGTAAAAGAATGTAGTTACACAGCTCATTGCCTCGATTTCAATATTTTTTGGCCTTTGACCTCTCTGGAAAATTTGTACAAACCTGATGACCTAAAGTCTTCGGCTTTACCACAGATGTCTGGGTGCTGTTCTGAGACCCAGACTTCTGTTCAGTCCCAAACTGTTCCCAAGATGTCCCAGGCCAGCTGAATCCAGAAGTGGACGTGCAGCCAGATGTACGCTGACAGCACTGCTTGTGACAGCAGATCTGCTTCTATGGCTCTCCAAAAGGAGCTTGGTGTTGGCCTCTGCAAGTCTCTCATCAGCTCTGAAACATTTAGAAGCACACAGAGAGTCATCTTTGGCAGGAAGGCTTTTGCAAAGTTACCCTCCACGGCCTTGACTACTACTCGACTTCTAAAAGCCAAGGGCATAAAGAGTGTCCAAAACCAGCACATCCTTTGATCTGAGCTTGTTCAGAG